ATATTCATAAATGACAGATCCGATAAAGGGTTGACATCCAAAATATATAAAGAGCTCACACACCTCAACAAACAAAAAGCAAATAATCCAATTAAAAAATGGGCAGAGGAGCTGAATAGATAGTTCTCTAAAGAAGAAATTCAGATGGCCAACAGACACATGAAAAGATGCTCCACATCGCTTGTAATCACAGAAATGCAAATTAAAACCACAATGAGATATCATCTCACACCAGTAATGATGGCTACCATCCAGAAGACAAACAACAAGTGTTGGCAAGGTTGTGGAGAAAGGGGAACCCTCCTACACTACTGGAGGGAATGTAAATTAGTTCAACCATTGTGGAAAGCAGTATGGAGGTTCCTCAGAATGCTCAAAATAAAAATACCATTTGACCCAGGAATCCCACTTCTAGGAATTTACCCTAAAAATGCAGCACTCCAATTTGAAAAAGACAGATGCACCCCTATGTTTATCGCTGCACTATTTACAATAGCCAAGAAATGGAAGTAACCTAAATGTTCATCAGTAGATAAAGAAGATGTGGTACATATACACAATGGAATATTACTCAGCTATTAGAAAAAAACAGATCCTACCATTTGCAACAACATGGATGGAGCTAGAGGGTATTATGCTCAGTGAAATAAGCCAGGCAGAGAAAGACAAGTACCAAATGATTTCACTCATCTGTGAAGTAGGAGTATAAGAACAAAAGAAAACTTAAGGAACAAAACAGCAGCAGAAGCACAGAACCCAAGAATGGACTAACATTTACCAAAGGGAGAGGGACTGGGGAGGACAAGTGGGAAGGGAGGGATGAGGGTGGGGAAAAAAGAAAGGGGGCATTACGATTAACATGTATAATGTGGAGGGGGGGCACGGGGAGCGCTGTGCAACAGAGAAGACAAGTAGTAATTTAAAGCATCTTAGTATGTTGATGGACAGTGACTATGAATGGGTATGTGGGGGGAACTTGGTGAAGGGAGGAGCCTAGTAAACATAATGTCCTTCATGTTATTGTAGATTAATGATACCAAAATAAAATTTAAAAAAAGTTTTCAAAGCAAATATAGCAAATCAGCAGCAATTCAAAATATGATCATGTTATCTGGTCTACCTTAATCAAGGTACTAAGACCCAGAAGTTATTTCTTTAAAGATTTCTAGAAGAATTTAATAGCTTCTAGGTCTCGAAAGCTAATTCTTGATCCTTTCGTGTTATCCATTTTTTCAGTCTCCTGGGGGAAATTTCTGTTCAATTTCATACAAAGGCTTCATCTACTGAGGGAACCCTGCAAAGCAGGCATGTTGGTACTGTGTCCGAAAACCCTCCCTGGAGCCCTACTCTGCCCTTCAATTTAAATGTGAGTATCTTTCAAAACAAGAAAGAATCAGAGGGAATGCCGATACTAATCTTTACTAAAGGGTCTAGCCTAAACTCAGGCTCCAGGAGCAGGCAGGTATAAGAGAATAAAGAAAGAGGTGACCTAAGGTGCTGTGCTCTTTTTTTCAAGTCAACAAACCCTAAATTAAAATGTTAAATATTTCACATAAAAAATGTGGCTTGGAAATCATAACTTTTAATATAACTTTAAAATATAGTCACCTTTTAGCCATTAAACACAGTGTCTGTGATAATTTCCAGAATACACAATCAAGTAGTTCTGAGAAGGTAAAAAGTACTTTGGGCAAAGTACTTGACTGTGTTTGCCTATTTCAAGGAAATTTCACAAATAATTTTAAGCAGCAGCCAACTTAAATTTAACCAAAATAAATAAATAAGCTAACAAAAAATATATGTAGCAAAAGGAAGGCTCTTTTATTTTTCATGGAAAACAGGTTTGGAGACACCTGAAATGAATGTATTTTCCAGGGTCATCCTAAGTGCTGCTGCTTGCTCAGAGATCAGCTGAAATTTTCTAGAGAAGGAAGACTGGGTAGATAAAAGAGAACCAACTAAAAGGAAAGCAAAACCTCAAAGAGCTCACAGTCCACCTGGCACAAGACCACAGCCTCTGAAACAGTGTGATGGACTGACTGCCTGAACCAGGCAAAGATTGCCATGGGATCTCAGAGGAGAGAACCCAGGACAAGGGGGCAGAAGAGACAGTTAAGTGTGAGCAGAGCTGTCCGTGAGGAGGAGCGTTCCTGATAGGGGAAGCAGCCAGGCTGGTGGCAGCAGCAGGCAGGGAAATGTGTGTGCAGGGAATGGTGCCTGATATGACTGGAGTTTAGCCTCGCTGTATGGGGCGACTGGTGGGAAAGTTGGATGCTTTGGTTAGCATGGATTATAAAAGGCTTTAATATCAAACTGAGGAGCTCAAACTCAAAAGGGCAGTGAGAGACCATCAGAGAGGGACATGATCTGCTCTGTGTTTAGAAGCCTTTCAAGTGGCAGTGCAGGAGAGCCTGGAGGTAGTGGGACTTCAGTGTGGCTACTGATCAGGATGTAAATCAAACAAATGGGAAAGTAGACAGAGAGTTAGGGAGGTGGAAGGAGGACAGAAAAGATGAAGGAAAGATGAGATGCCTCCTTCATATGGGGAGTTAGGGTCAGCCTAATGTGTGTAACTGATGGACTAGGAAGAAATATACAAGTTGTTCTGGTTAAAAAAAAGGGAAGCAAGCAAGCAAGCAGAGGCGGTTGCATCACCTTGTTTGCACTGTGTAGAGTGTCTGCCTGAGCTGGAAGATCAAAACTCACACTGGCCTCCCCACTTCCAGAAAGAGTGGGCATACTTCCCAGACTGTGGGTCCTCCCAGGTTCAGATAAAGGGAAAGCCAATTCAGGCAAAACAGGCCTTGTTCCAGAGATCTGGGGAGTCACTGCAGGCAGCAAGGCTGCTGGATTAATTGCTAAATCTGCCTAAAGAAGAAAATTGACACTTATTCTGTATGTTTTCTTAAACACAGCAGCCTGTTCTTATTATTATGACACACAGTGAGAGACTCATTGTACATAACGTATATTATGAGAGGAGAAAGAGACATGCAGGATAGTCTCCTGATCTAGTCTTAGAATTACAACAGAAGGCTACCTGTACCCACCACTGGGACCAAAAAAAGGACATTATAGACAGCACACAAGCAGCAACAACTAGAGGGTGGGGAAGAGATAAGAAAATGCCTAGCAGCAGCTGACAAAAGTAAAAACCCCAAAAAGTTTATAGATGCCACAAGGCAGGCAATGAAGATTCCAGACATGGTATAATTACTTGTATTTTCCAGATCTGAGGGGATGGCTCTTTGGTTTTAAATGGAACGGGATCTGGTGAGTCCTGTGTGAAATTACAGTCAGTTAAAAACCCACTGGGGATAGAAAATGTTCCTTGGATTAAATTTATGCCTGTAAATAAATGTGTGATTGAGGAAAGCTGTCACTTTCTGTAGTTCTCTAATGGGAAAGGCATTCAGATGTCTCCTGGGGCCTCACAACATTTCACTGACATCACTTCACTTATGTATGCCTCCTTATCCACTGGGCAAGTAGAAGGCTGTCAGACTGCACACAGAATAAGGGAGATGGAGACCATGAATAGGATTCCTAAAACTATTAGGGTATCAGAGCACCAAAACCTGACCAGTTGGGGAAATTATCATGCTGGGAATCTCACATGGCAAATATTACAGAGCACACAGAAATTCACACACAGCCTAATGCACTGGTTCTAGAAGCCAAAGCAGCTGAGACTTGGGACAAATCACTGGGTATGTGCTTGTCCTAGAGCCTTGCTGTCAGAGCTCAGGACACTGAGGCCTCAGTGAGACATCCAGGGGCAGCAGCCAGCTGGACCCAGTACTCACTCTCCAGTTCTGAGCTGCCTTCAGGAAGCACTCCACAGAGAAGACTGCTGAGGACGGACGCCTATCAGCAATGATCTCAGGAGCAGTAACAGAGGGGGAACCAAGAAACGGGATGTAACTGATATTTAATTCTAAGTAAACCAAAGAAAGAGCCAGGGGTTCTGGTGGGAAGAAGGTTCTTCACCATACCTCAACTTTATCTTGGAATTGAATGGAAGGACTTCAAAAAATTATTAGTAAGCACAGATTCATAGGACTGGGGTGTGGAATGAGGAGGGGATAGATGAGCAGGGTTGAAAAATACAGTCAAGGAAAAGAGGTCATCCTAGTCGCTGTTTCCCCCTTAATTAAGAGAACTCTGAATACCCTTGGGCCTGCACGATGGAGTTATTCTATACTGGGATGCAAACAAGAGCCAGAAGTCCTTAAAGAGATCGGTTCTAACCTGAGGTGTTTCCAGTTTCCATTCGCTTTTTTCTTTGATACCTTGAGTGGACTCCATATGCTCTGGTTCCTCAAAGAGGAAATAGAGTGGTCTTTTTTCACTACCTTCTTTTCAGGTATCTTTAAAGAAAAAGAATACCAAAAGTCTATCAAGTATCTTAGAAATTTTAAAAGAAAGTCATATTGCAAAAAAAGGCTCTGGTTTCTGCGTTTTAAAAGTCACTTCTCAAATGAAGGTTTTGAACCAACACAGAGGCGGCTTTTCAGAAATATTCTAAAGACTGACTTTCTTAGGAGCCCTCTCTATGATAAAAAGAAAACAGAACTTATAAAATCTACTGGGCAGGGGGAAAAGGTCACATAGGCAAGCTAACACTCAGATTTAAGGTTCTGCACCTGAAAGGCATGAATAGTTAGTCACCATATTTTATGCACTGGTCTTTCAGTAAGCAACTTAAAAACCAAACAAACTTAAAATACACTAAGAGAACCTGGGTTAGTTAATGCTTTACTATTAGGGAACTTAAGATGGGGACAATACGAACAATACGTTATCTGCCTTTCATTTACTGGTAATCACCACAATTCCGTGTATTTTCCTTAACCGTGTAACTGGACATTAATTTCCTTTCCCAGAAATCTTTCCACTCCTCCACCAGTATTGAGAACAAAAGGCTGGTATCAAAGGCTTCAACTTGGCAGAGCTGAACATATCATCATCTTCATCATCCCCAAACAGGCTCCCAACACTTGGCTCTAACAACTAGAATAGAGTATAAACTCAAATTCAACATCCAAACCAAAACAATTTACAAAGAACAAGGTGAGCAGCTGAGATAATTTCTAATACAATAGCAAAGTCACGATATGGAGAGCCATTCGTAACTGACCCTGGTTTTTTTGGTGCTGGAGAAAATGTCAACATCTGGGTCATTGTCCTAGAGCTTGTGACTGAAAAGGAGTTCTTCATCCTGAAAGACACCTGTGCTCTTGGGCCAGGCATCAGAATCAGCCCTGGGAGAAAGAGGAATCTAAGGATTTACCTTATAAGGATCACACACACATGTAAAGATGAAACAACAAAAATGCAGCTTTGTTTATAATGGCTAAAGGTTGGACACAGCCTAAGTCCTAACCAGAAAGGAGTGACACAGTAATATGATGCAATATTACAGAACTATCAAAAATAAGGGAGAATGTATTTATAAGTACAGGTAACATAAACATACTCTGGAAAGATCATTGTTCAACTTTTGTAGCATCTCAATGTTTTATGTTAAAAACAATAAATTAGTTCCACAATAAGAAACATTTTAGGGGTAAATATACACAAACTTAAACAAGTTCTCTCCATTTCATTCCCAAAGGGAAGAAAAGACTTAATACCAGAAAATACATGGTGGTCAAGCATGTATCCTTCTAACCTGTCAGCATCGAAGTCCAAAGAACTGCACAGGTATGACTAGCCAACCTTCCCCTATGCCCATCCACCTCTTATCCCACCACCTTCAGATTCCAAACAAGTTCTTTTTGTTTCTAGGACAGCTGACATTTGAAAATTACTGTTCACATTACTTGGTTGGATACTATAATGCCCCAGACTTTACATTCTAAAATTCTCCCCAATTTCTTCTTTACTATCACACCCACAGATTAAAACAAAACTCAATTTAGACAAAACGTGTCACATTAAAAATTAATAATTATTGTTTATTATACATAAAAACCAGTGTAACATAGCAACTACATTTGTAAGTGTCACAACTATGAACATCAATACAAAATCACACACAGTAAGAGACTGGAAGAAAATATACCAAATAATTCATATTCACTCAGTGTAGTCCTCATTTATAAACAGGGTTATACTATTTACATAATAAAAAATTCTTTAAACATTTTCTTACAGAAATCAACATGGACTATATCATCAGTTTGAAAAGCACTGGAAGAGGGAGGCAAGATGGCGGCATGAGTAGAGCAGCGGAAATCTCCTCCCAAAACCACATATATTTTTGAAAATACAATAAATACAACTATTCCTAAAAGAGAGAACAGAAGACACAGGACAACATCCAGACTACAACCACACCTGTGAGAACCCAGTGCCTTGCGAAGGGGGTAAGATACAAGCCGCGGCCTGGCGGGACCGGAGCGCCCTACACCCCAGCTACTGGTGGGAGGAGAGGAGTCAGAGAGGGGAGGGAGAGGGAGCCCAAGACTGCTAAATAGCCAGCCCTAGCCATCCGCACCAGAGCGCAGATACACTGCATGCGTGGGGTGCTGGAAACTATGGAAACAGGGCAGTAAGACCTGTGAGCGGGTACCTGCAGCCAGAGCCGCCGGTACAAAGAAAAGCGAGAGCTTTTTGAAAGTCCTAAAGGGACAGGGACACCACAGCTGGACGGAAGGGTCCAGAGACACCACAGCGGGATGGAAGCGTCCAGGGACACTTAGCTCAGAAGCTGGGAATCCCAGGGAACTCTGGGCACTCTAACCCCCTGGGCAACAGGGCAACTGGGAGGTACCTCACGGAGATAAACACCCTCCGGGCTGTTTCCCCTGTGACGAAGCTCCGCCATATCAGAGCTGCACCCTGAGGCAGGCCATGCCCACAGCTACTGCAGAGCTAAACTCCATAGCGGCCGAGCAAGAATCAGAAATGCCGTCTGTGCGCAGCTGCCCAGCACAAGCTGCTAGAGGTCACTGTTCTCCAAGGAGAAGAAGGCCACAAACCAACACCAACAAGAAGGAACATTCTCCCAGCCGTCACATGTGCCAGCCTCCGCAAACTATATCTATCGCCATGAAAAGGCAGAAAAATTGATATAGACCAAAATCACAATCCCTGAGGAGATAGACCTAACCAGCTTTCCTGAAACAGAATTCAAAATAAAAATCATAAACATGCTAAGGGAGCTGCAGAGAAACATACAAGAGCGAAGGGATGACGTCCGGAGGGAGATTACAGAAGTGAAACAATCTCTGGAAGCATTTCTAAGCAGAATGGATAAGATGCAAGAGGCCATAGATGGAATAGAAATCAGAAAACAGGAACGCATAGAAGCTGACGCAGAGAGAGATAAAAGGATCTCCAGGAATGAAACAATATTAAGAGAACTGTGTGACCAAAACAAAAGGAACAATATCTGCATTAGAGGGGTACCAGAAGAAGAAGAGAGAGAAAAAGGGATAGAAAGTGTCTTTGAAGAAATAATTGCGAGAACTTCCCCAAACTGGGGGAAGAAATAGTTACTCAGACTACGGAGGCACAAAGAACTCCCAACAGAAGGGACCCAAAGAGGGTAACACCAAGACACATAACAATTAAAATGGAAAAGATCAAGGACAAGGACAGAGTATTAAAGGCAGCCAGAGAGAAAAAAGGTCACCTACAAAGGTCAGGCTATCATCAGACTTCTCAAGAGAAACTTTACAGGTCAGAAGAGAATGGCATGATATATTTAATGCAATGAAACATGAGGGCCTTGGACCAAGGATACTGTATCCAGCACGATTATCATTTCAATATGAAGGAGGGATTAAACAATTCCCAGACAAGCAAAAGTTGACAGAATTTGCCTCCCACAAACCACCTCTACAGGATATTTTAGAGGGACTGCTCTAGATGGGAGTACTCCTAAAATGAGCACAGAACAAAACACCCAACATAAGAAGAATGGAGGACGACGAATAAGAAGGGAAAGAAATAAAGAATCATCAGACTGTGATTATAATAGCTCAATAAGCGAGTTATGTTAGACAGTAGGGTAGTAAACAAGCTAACCTTGAACCTTTGGTAACCACGAATCTAAAGCCTGCAATGGCAATGAGTACATATCTTTCAATAATCACCCTAAATGTAAATGGACTGAAAGCACCAATCAAAAGACACAGAGTAATAGAATGCATTAAAAAGCAAGACCCATCTATATGCTGCTTACAAGAGACTCACCTCAAACACAAAGGCATGCACAGATTAAAAGTCAAGGGATGGAAAGAGATATTTCATGCAAACAACAGGGAGAAAAAAGCAGGTGTTGCAATACTAGTAACAGACAAAACAGACTTCAAAACAAAGAAAGTAACAAGAGATAAAGAAGGACACTACGTAATGACAAAGGGCTCAGTACAAGAGGATATAACAATTATAAACATATATGCACCCAATACAGGAGCACCAATATATGTGAAACAAATATTAACAGAATTAAAGGAGGAAATAGAATGTAATGCATTCATTTTGGGAGACTTTAACACACCGCTCACTCCAAAGGACAGATCCACCAGAGACAAAATAAATAAGGACATAGAGGCACTGAACAACACACTACAACAGATGGACCTAATAGTCATCTATAGAACTCTACATCCAAAAGCAACAGGATAC